GAGAGAGAGCAGAGAGAGCAGAGAGAGAGACGAGAGAGATGATGAGAGAGGGGGGGGGGCAGAGAGCGAGAAGAGAGAGAGAATGCTACATATTTATTATTTATAAAATCTCGGGCATAATAAATATGTATCGTAGAAATTATTGGCAGATGTATACGTGATATAATATGTAATTTTCGTATTTTGCTATGCATATCTGTATGATAGATGATCGCAGTTCATAGTCATTGCAGTATAATTACACACGCACACGCTCACACACGCACAGCACACCGACACACGCATTACGCCCAGGCACCACGCACACGCCGCGCACACACATATATATATTTATACCTGCCTGTAGTTATACCTGTACTGCTGTAGTTACACCTGTATTGTGTAGTTGTACCTGCTTACTGTGTAGTTACACCATGTATGTTGTGTTTATACCTGTACTGTGTAGTTACAACCTGTATTGTGTTATTATACCATGTACTGTGTAGTTACACCTTGGCTGTGTAGTTGTAACCTATACTGCCTGTAGTTACACCTGTATTGTGTATTTTACCATATACTGTGTAGTCAAGCTAGCTGCGTTAACTATAATGTATCGTGTTTAGTAGTATATACCTGTTACTGTTAGTTGTAGGGGGTAGACGGGTCACCTGACGAAGACGTTGTTAGCGACGTTTCCGTACGAGTGTGCGTCCTACAGTCGGGACGATGTACGGTGTCTTCATCCTAGTGATGCTTCTCGGCAATATGCATATGTAATAATACAATACAACATCTTTATAAAAATAAAATACTGTTGATAGCCTGTTGCTGCCATATAAGATAGATGAAGATCAAGATACTACTATATATATACATCTATATGCCTGCACGCACGCACGCACATACACAGACATAATATGAACACGCACGCCACGATCACAGACACACGCACACCACATACGAACGCCGCTCGCACGGCACGCACACGACACACACACACTCGTATATATATCTGATCTATTGATAAGCATATACTATAGGGAAATTGCTTGCACATGATGAAGGCAGAATTGGCACGGGCTTCGATTATCACGTCCACGGTACGAGCAGTTTCTCTAACAGCACACTGTACTGTTGTTTGTCTTGTCATTCAGTTATGTAAATCGTTAACGATTTTAACAAGGTGCTTCAACAACAGGTTGAATGAGCAGTAAAGAGAGAGAGAGAACAGAGACGGACAGACAGAGGACAGAGAGAGAGAGAGTAAGAGAGAAGAAGAGAGAAGACAGCGAGAGAGAGAGAGAGAGGAAGAGTGACCTGCCGTACACGACATGGAGAGGGAGAGAGGAGAGAGGAGAGATAGAGAGACCAGAGAGCAGGAGAGACGACGAGAGAGAAACAGAGAGAGACAGACACACACAGAGAGAGAGACTAGACAGACAGACCAAGACAGAGAGAGAGATGAGGAGAGAGAGAGAGCAGATCGAGACCGAGAGAGAGAGGAGCAAAGGGAGAGAGACCGGAGCGAGAGCGATGAGAGAGAGAGACTGAGAGAGACGAGAGAGAGACTGCGAACCGTGTTAAACAATAAAGGCGACGCGAAACGTCGTAACAACAATAAAACCGGAACACAAGAGAGTGCGCACGGTTATGCCACACAACAAAACACGATTGCGCAGTGCGCGTATGGCGAACACAACACACTGACTTGTAACGGCACTGCGACAGCAACTGCAAGACCCCAGGAACTATTATATTGGGGGCGAATAATGTATCTGAAAAATCCGTGTATGTGAAGGGGGTATATAACACCAACCAGAAGTACATTCGTAACCGCCCTGCTATATCGATCTAAAAAAACGTATGACCACCTAGCCTTTAGGATAAAAACATCTACCCTTCATGTAAACACCCAACACAACAATAGCAGACGGTGCACATTGATATATAATGATAATATTGATACACATGATGGTTATTTGATAATAGACCCCTACACACATAGACACACACACACACACACACACACACACACACACACACACACACACACACACACACACACACACACACACACACACACACTACACTACACACACACACACACACACACACACACTACACACACACAC